TTGAAAATGACTTGGAGAGGGATTCTGGTAAAGGAAATGGTACTTTAATGGCTCTCGCAAAGTGCTTAGGAGATCACAATCTTCCAAAACAAAACAATAATCAGCAGTGTGGTAGCCTGGAGATTTCACTAATGAGGAAAGATAGTGAGATAAACTATTGACTTATATTACAGTCACAGCTGAAAGCCCTTTAACTGCTTTCACTTGGCAAAGATTGTGGATTCAATGACTAAGTTATTATGTGAATTCTGCAGTGTTGAGTGTTTGCTTAAAGACAGACTCAGGAGCAATACTTGATGATGATCAACAAAAATGAAATAAATCTAATTAGAACTGCAGTCTTACTTGTTTTATGTGTTACATTTAGGTGCTTAGGTGCTGTGTCTGACTAATAGCAAACTTTTTAGTGATTAGTAATAAAACAGAATTAAGAGTTTGTTTCTAAAAGCACAGGATCTTCTCTTTGGCTCTGGGTTGCCCCTTGACAACGTTTTCTCACTCCCAACTTGTAAAATATGGCAGCTTGGACAGTGGCCCTACACTTCAAACTATATCACTCTAGGTATCCCTCTGGCTTCAGTTTTGGATGCTCAGGGACAGTGTGTCAATTTTATCCTCGCTACATGTATGGTGTCTACAAAACAAACTTTTATGTTCACAAGACAAGATGGCGCCAGTGTGTGTGGCTGGCCGTCTGCTGCTCCTGCAATGCTTAGTGTTTTTATTGATTTTAACCATTGGCACTAAACAAATCGAGTCTCTGCTGGTGTATGATCGCCAGTCTCTTTTGTTTCTCCGGCAGAATGTCGGAAAAATGGGTGCGTTTAATCACGGTGGACAGAGTGCTTTGCCCCCGCTCCTGGCGGGAATTCCGCCTCACCTGTACCGGGCCTCGGCCCTACCTTCTCGGCGGAGGCGTCCCCGTCGCCGCGGCAGTCGCGGTGGTCGGCTGGTGAAGCTGAAGCTCTGGCTGACACACTCTTCGTCCATTTCCCGGACAGGATATGGATTATTATCTCCTCTCACTGTGCCCCGACGCTTCCTTGACCGCATTGACGTCTGTCTGGTGCCTGTCACAGGTTCATATGAGGGACTCCAGCCCCACAGCCTCTGCCCTCCTCGGCTCTCTCAGCGCGGGGTGGACCATCGGCTCCTGAGGACGTTGCCCCGGGCTCCCCGATCCACCGGACCACGGGCCCCAGCTCCCTCCAGGATTGGCTTGGTGAACGCCAGATCCCTGGCGAACAAAACTTTCATCCTGAGGGATTTCTTCTGCTCCCGTGCCCTGGATTTCTTGTGTGTGACAGAGACTTGGATCGGTGCTGGTGAGTCCAGCGCTCTGGTCGAGCTTTTACCTGCCGACTGTTCTTATTTTAACTCCCCGCGGACGTCGGGTCGTGGAGGAGGGACGGCGGCGGTTTATAAAAACGTCTTTAAATGTAAGCAGTGCACCGTCTCATCCTCAATTTCCAGCTTTGAAGTGACTTTATTTGAGGTGGGTCGCTCCGACCCGGTGCTGTGCGCTGTCATATACCGACCCCCCAAATACAATAAGGACTTTGTTAATGACTTTTCTGGTCTTCTGGCGGAAATCATGCCGAAGTATGACCGTGCCATTTTTCTTGGGGATTTTAATATTCATGTGTGTTGTCCTGATAAGCCGTTGGTGAATGACTTTTTAAACCTTATTGATTCTTTTAATCTGGTGCAGTGTGTGTCTGGTCCCACACATGAACATGGACACACATTAGACCTCGTCCTCTCTTATGGTTTATCTGTGTCTAACTTGGAGATCTGTGACGATGCGATTTCTGATCATATGCCTGTTTTGTTTGAAGTTGCTTTCTCCTGTGCCGATGTTAAATCTGGTGCCACTGTTCAGCGCCGTCGGATTTTTAACTCTTTTACTGCCGGTCAGTTCTCCGTGGCTTTTAATCAGCTCTGTGTCTGCCCTGCCTCTGCTAACACAGAGGAGCTCAGCTCCTGGTTTAACTCCTCCTGCCGAACCATACTGGACTCTGTGGCTCCAATAAAAACTGTGTTGCCCAAGGCTAAAACTGAGCCATGGTTCAATGAGGAAACCCGTGCAGCTAGACGGGAGTGCCGCAAAGCAGAGCGGAAGTGGAAGAAGGACAAGCTGTAGGTTTCCCTCCAAATCCTAAAGGACTGTTGGCGCTCCTACCAGAACACTGTTAAAGAGACCAAAAGGAAATACCTGTCAAACCTCATTGAGTTAAATCGTCATAACCCGCGTGTGTTATATAAAACCATTGACACTGTTCTTAATGCCCCACAGCCTGTCAGCTTGGAGGCATCTCCTGACATGTGCAATAGCTTCCTGCATTTTTTTATTGATAAGGTTGCTACTGCAAGGGCTCTCATCTCAGCCCCTGCATCTGACCCCTCTGTCCCTGTTCCTTGTTCTGCAGCTCTTGATAAGTTTGAACCTGTGTCCCTATCATTTTTAGAAGAACTGATTGGCCATATTAAGCCATCAGGTTCTCCCTGTGACGTTGTCCCTCCTGGTTTCTTCAAAGTAGTTTTCCCTAGTAAAGGGCAGTCGGTTCTGGCCGTCATCAACAGCAGTCTGTCCTCTGGTGTTGTACCCCGAGTCTGAAACATGCAGTGGTCCAGCCCTTACTTAAGAAACCTGGCCTTGATGGCAGTGTGCTGGCCAATTTTAGGCCCATCTCTAAGCTGCCTTTTATCTCCAAAATCTTAGAAAAAGTTGTTCATGCTCAGCTAAAATCGTTTTTAGATGAGCATAATGTCCTGGAGATCTTTCAATCAGGCTTTAAAACCCTGCAAAGCACCGAGTCGGCTTTAGTAAGAGTTTTTAATGACATCCTACTGGCAAATGACTCTGGTGACCATGTAATTCTTGTTTTGTTGGACCTAACAGCAGCTTTTGACACCGTGGACCACAATACCCTAGTGGCTCGGTTACGCCACCTAGTGGGCATCTGTGGTACCGCACTGGAGTGGTTCAAATCTTATCTGGCTGACCGAAGCATGAGTGTAAGCCTTGGAAACTCAGAATCCAGCTCTGCTCCACTGCCGTATGGGGTTCCACAGGGGTCGATTTTAGGGCCCCTGCTTTTTTCTTTGTATTTACTGCCCCTGGGATCCATCCTGAGAAAGCATGGCATCTCTTTCCACTTCTATGCTGACGATAGTCAGATATATGTGCCGCTAAAAAAGAAAAATGCCTTCTCACTCACACCACTTCTGGCATGTCTTGAAGACATCAAAGAATGGATGGCCTTGAACTTTTTAAATTTTAATGAGAAAAAAACAGAAGTGATGGTGTTTGGTCCCAGTGGCCTTTGTAAACCTCCCCCTGTTGACTTGGGCCCTTTGGCAGATTTTTTAAAGCCAACAGTCTCAAACTTGGGTTTTAAGATGGACAGTGATTTTAAATTGGATCGGCAAATTAGCTCTGTAGTGAAGTCCAGCTTTTTCCAAATTAGACAGCTGGCTAAGGTGAAACCTTTCCTTGCACAACAGCACTTTGAAACAGTAATCCATGCCTTTATTACATCTCGGCTGGATTACTGTAATGCACTTTATTTTGGAGTCAGCCAGTCCTCCCTCGCACGTCTCCAGTTGGTGCAAAACGCAGCTGCACGACTGTTAACTGGAGTACGTAAGAGGGAGCACATAACTCCCATCCTGGCCTCCCTCCACTGGCTACCTGTGCACTTTAGAGTCCATTTTAAGATTCTTTTATTAGTTTTTAAATCTTTACATGGTCTGGCCCCACCTTACCTCTCTGAGCTTCTTCACCCCTACGCTCCTGCTCGGTGCCTCAGGTCAGCTGATCTGCTGCTTCTGGAGGTGCAGAGGTCCAAACGGAAGCTCAGAGGGGACAGAGCTTTTTCCGTTACCGCTCCTAAATTGTGGAACGAGCTACCCCTCCACATTAGACAAGCCTCCTCACTGTCCATTTTTAAAACTCGTCTAAAAACCCATTTTTATTCCTTGGCTTTCAACTCCGCATGAGACTCTGTTTCTGTTTTAGTGTTTTATGGTTTGTTTTATTTATTGTTTTATTGTTTTTAAATTATTTTAAAAACAATAAACAATTATTTTAGTATTTATTTCCTGTTAATTATTTTATGTCCCTGTGTTGCTTTGTCTATTTATGTACAACACTTTGTTTCAGCCGTGGCTGTTTTAAAGGGCTATATAAATAAAGTTGAGTTGAGTTGAGTTGAGTTGAGTTCACAGGAAACACAGGTTTTACCAAAACTACTTTATGTTTAACGTAACTACTTGGCCAGGTTTAGAACAAAGATCGTGGTTAGGGTTAAAACAGTAAGTTCGTTAAGAGCAAAATAAAGTCTGCCAAATTGGATGTGGCTGTTCCAAACTAATATTTGACTATTTATTCCCCTTTGTCTCAATTTAGAGTTTGAGAGCTTGAACAGGGTTCAGTAGGACATTAAGGATGAAAGCAACACTGACATAGTAAAGCAAACAAGCTAAGTTAGCCCTCCGAGCTAATGTATGCTAACTACAGATCAAAATGTGCAAAAACAATTTTTGGAGTCAGTAGATATCAAACAATCCACCATTTCTAAGCAGAAGGCAGTTGATAGCGTTATCTCTTAGTCTGATCAGGCAACGCTTCTCTTCCTCCAAGCAGCTGCCTGCATCTCACTCAGACTGATGCAGACTAACCCTGGCTCTGGGTCTGCAGCTGCCTGTTCTGGAGAGCAGCTTGACAGTGAGGGGCACTCACTTTGCAGCTAAATCTGGGGACTGATTTGCCTCAGAAGCGAGCCTATCGTCAGGGCGGTTAAAGGGTACAGATGATCCCAAGGCCAAGGGGTGCACATGAAAAAGTCTCTGGTTGACCATCAAATGGATCAAATACAAAAATTTACTTAGTGAACTTAAATCACTGACAACACAAGCTATATATTTACATGATAAATAAATGTGTTTTTATCATTAAAACACAATTCAACGTGCCATCTGATGCTCCCATCCTCCATGGTTCAGTCCATCTGACAGGTCAGGTGCACCATGTGCAGAAATCACAAGTTCTCTTAAAGTAAACATGTGAGGCAGACTGCAGCCTGACTAGCAAAGTCAGGATGCCTCACCAAAAATCAGCAACCACTGAAGGAAAAAGAGAACAAGAAAATGAAATGAGCAGGAAGGCAATAAGCAAATGTTTGGATGAAAAAAAAATGTGAAGAAGCAGCAGGTAGAGCTGATGGTGAGAAGTGAGGCTGACTAATGTTAGCAAATAACAAGTGCTGTATGTGGCTCAGTTTTATCTTTAAAGCTACAGTGAAGATACTGGTATCATATCAAACCAGAGGATCTAAAAAACACAATGGTACCAACAACGCAATGCTATCTTGTCGGAAAAGGGAGCAAAGTAACGCCCTAAAGTTACACAAAATTTTTAAGAGTACACCTGGCTGCGCACACAGACACACACACACACACACACACACACACACACACACACACAGTGACAGGGTTAACGGCTAGCATCATACAGCTTGTCATAAATGAGTTTTACAACAGAGTTGAATGTTTAATTTTGGTGTGATTTTGTTGGGGCCATTTATTGGCATGGTGTTGGGCATTACCTGCTAATGCAACTGTGCAGCTTACTGGGCAGACGTCAGACGTATGATGGCTGTAACACAACGTCTGCCAATCTGGCAGGAAGAAGGGATGGTCCAGGATCAGATCCCTGGCGCAGAAAGGTATGAATGCAGGTATCATTCAACTGGAGGTGTTTCAAATCTACTTGGTACTGGGTTATTTCAGTCAGTATCTTAAAAGGTATCGAGTACCGACGCCCAGCCCTAATATCTACACAAGGATATTTTTTAAAAATAATCATCAGTAATGTGGATATAATGACTAAGTGGGTAAAGGAAAATAATAGAACAGCTACAACTGTCTGGTACATTCAGAAAATTACATCATTTTATGGTACTGTAGCCCTTAAAAAACAGTAAAAGACCATACAATATTATGATATCCAAAATCTAAGGGGGCTTTCACACCTGCCCTGTTCAGTTCAGTAGCACTTAAGTTTGTTTGCCCTGTAAGTGCAGTTCATTTGAGCAGGTGTGAACACAGCACTCATTGTTTGGGTTAAACATGAGCATGTTACAGTCCTGGAGGATTACTAATGTGCACCTCCTATAATGCCAGCAATATAGTCCACGATGACCAGCGCTAAAATCAACCTGCGTAGTTGTCCCTCCATTGTGACATTAGAAAGTGTCACATTTATCTTGCAAGTGTACTCTTCTTCAATGTTTTGTTTACTTCCTGGATTTTTCCTGCATGGAAATGAGAACATGAACCAACTCTAGGCAATTATGCAACTTTGTAACAAAACTAGTCAATGATTCGGACCAAAGCAAGCGAGCTCTAGGTCTGAAAGCACCCTAAGATGATATTTAGTCTCATATCATGATAGACATAATACTGATATGTTGCCCAGCGCTAATTGGAGTTAGTTGAAAGCCTAGTACTTGTCAAACAGAGGCTAAAGGTTGCGCCTTGGACGTCCCAATCAGACACCATCAGCCACTGAACAAGCTGCTGTATTTGACGCTCGGTGAAGTAGAACAGGCTGTCCTTGGCTATGAGGATATGGAACTTTCCTTCAGGTAACTGATTGAAAGCAATTCAGCAATAAATCTCTTGCCAATACGATGCTGTACACATCCTGATTAAAAAGCAAAGCTATTCTATCACTTGTTCACCTTCAGAGGATTTGGTCCTTCCCCACATACAGATCACTGTAGCTGCTCAGCTCTCTCGCTCCCCGTTTGTGTCTCTCTCAACACTGCCTCTGCAAAAAACCCTGTTTATTATTCATGTTTATCATCACACCATGTCTTCTGTTTGCTACCAGTTTCATGGATGGACTGGCAGCAATTTGGAGCTGCTACATGAAACCCAGCTTTACCGTCAACACTGTAACAGATCCCACTTAGTTTAACACAGCCAACCACATTGATGTGTGCTCACAGAAAGGCGTGCGCGCACACACTTATTCCAACTGCCACTGCAACCGCCCACACACCAAACATTCACATACAAACACACACACACACACACACATCAGTTAAACACACACACACACACATCAGTTCCGGGAAATGCCTGTCAGATGTCCATTTGAGTTCATGTGTTTTCTCAACACCATGGGTTCTGGCTTCTCAGGCACAGCGATCATTCAGCACAGTGGAGGGAAAATAAAGGAGAGTAATACTGCAGTTATCTCAAATCCACTGAGATGGTGGATAATTACCTCACAATGACTTCCTTGCTTATTAAAAACCTATTGGGGGAACAATACCCTTTTCTGTATTATACATTAACTGTAAAAAAACCCCCACAAAGGCAGGTGTGCGCCATTATCCTGTAGCTTCACATCCGAACTCAGTGTTTCCAAACACCCTGTGAGCATCTGTTTTATTGATTTATAGCCAGCCATTCAGCTCTACAAACTTTTATATTTTCTTTATTATCTACAGACGTCTGTTAAAAAGTCATTCTAATACCCTGCTCTTATTTTCCAATGAGATGCAACAGCATGAGAAAGTCAAAATCCAATCCAGAATACAGACATAATAAAAAGTAGACCTGATAAAGTTTATAAATAAATAAAAAGCCGAACAATAAAATGCAGAACAGGAGCCATATTTCATTCTGACATTGATTGGAAGAGGTCTGTACACAGTGACTAACAGCATATGACAAGTGCATGAGATCATCTGATGCTTTCAAATAGAGACAAAGCAACAGACTAATGACTCTGACTAATGAAGGTTTGATAAATTATCTTATCATCCATCAAGTCAAACCCTTTCATGGAGAATCGTGATTACACTGAAAACTTCTCTCGTTCTTTCCCAAACTTTAGGTCTCACGAAAATGTTTAAAAATAGAAAATATTGAGTTGATTTAAAGTCATGTAGTATTTTACAAAAAAAAGTTGAATTAAAAAACATTTATAAAAAAAATGAACTGAATGAATTGAAAATTACAATCTTGGGGGATTGATATAGCATAGTATCGCGATATTTTGCGTGGCAACATAGTATCGATACACGGATGCATTTTATTATAAACATAATTTATTTTTGCAAATACTCATTTTGACACTTTTGGTACTGGAATAATAATTTGATTGCTTTTTCTGTCCACTAGATGGTGCTGATTTTTTTTTTCCTGGTGAGATCAGCGTCCATGCAGCGTCATTGAAAACAGCGGCTTTTATTACATGCTACAAACACGTCAGTACATGACTCTGTCACCGACAGAGCCGTACCCAAGCTCTACAGAGAAGTGTAGCATAAAGCTGAGGAGTGCAGCAGGAAGGGTGGTATTAATTTGTGATCCCTGGACCTCAAAGTCAGTGGATTCACATGTGACTATAACACCACATTATCCTACAGAAGACTGGTGACTGCTGTCTCAGATTCTCCAAACTAGAGCAGAACACAAAAGTCACAGCGGAACAAACACTGCAGCACAATAACAGGGGATTGTGGTTGTATCACACATCGCTTCTGACATGGGTGTTGCCATTTAGTCAGTGGGATACCTGCATGTGAAGTGTTTCTGCCAGCAGTTCAGTTTGTCAGGTGTATGCAGCATTTATAACAGGTTTTATGACAGTGTTAGTCAGTCTGTCTGCTTTGCATCACATTTTGCTGCAATAAAAACAATTAAAATCAGATGAACAGACTGAAAACTTTATCTTATGAGGTAAAATTCATGTTGACAAAATTTTCCTTTGAGGGAATAATTCGCAGTTGGAAAAAAAGGTAATAAATCGCAAAATATCCCAATATATTGTATCTCAATACTCAGAATACCGCAATATTGCAATAATAAGTATCATGATAATATCTATCGCGAGTCGTCTGGTGATTCCCACCTCTAATGTTGATGTGACCTGACTTTCAGCATGGTTTTATACGTAGTAAAGAAAGAGGACCTTCCTGTAATATACGGTAAAATAGAAAGTTCGGAAAGCATTTGACTGGGTGATTGACCCACTCCACTATGACGCTTTTTGCTGATCTACCAGCCAGCACCGATGAACAGCTGACTGAGCTGTCAGGAAATTGAATATGAGGAGTTTTCATTTGGAGAAAGAGGGGATTACCCAAAGGTGACACTGTGCCCTTTAGAACTCATAGTTCCCCTTGCCAGAATTTAATTGCGTGAAGCTGGATTTAGTGCTCTTGTTTGAAAGAAATCAGTCCTGGTTCAAGCTGAACAAGACGGATGAAATGAAATGGGCAGTCTAGGCAACACCCTGTGACTGTGAAGTACAACGTGCAAAACCATCTTGTTAGATATGGCTTTCAATTTCAATATACTGTGCTTTAGGAATAGGCTCAAAATATGCTTATACACGTGGGTTATAATAACCTGAGGTATAGAAACAACAAGTTGCTGTGTTAGAAGAGCACAAGAGTGTTTCTCAGCCCCAGAGCAGTGATTGCTTTTAGTCTTTATGCTAAGCTAACTGGCCACTGGTTGTAGCTTCATATTTAACAGACAGTTGTGAAAGTGGTATTACTCTTCCCATCTAACTCTGGGCAAGAAAGTGGATTTCCTTAAGCCAGAATGTCAAACTGTGTCTTGAAGAAGCCTACCAGTGCAAAGTAAATATTCTTCATCTAAATCCCTGTGTCTCATTAAAAATTCAAAAGCAAAGAAATTGAGTCATTTTAAAAAACACTGACAGAGTGAAATGCAGAAACTTACTGGCAACAAAGTTGCACAGACAGATAGACTTTAGGATTAATATCATCTAATTTGACAAGTTGACAACTAAAGGAAGCACAAAGGAGATACTGCACTTCACATATTGTTTGCTTGTTTTTTTGTGTCTTGTCAAAAGCATTCAAGTCTATATAACTATTGTTTTTGCTCTGCATTCCAGCGCATAGAAAATGAAGTAAAACAATTATAAACTTTTGGTTTTAAATCTGTGTGTGCTGAAATCCATGCTGGGTGCAGAGTGCAGGGGTAGTTTTAACACAAGGATGCAAGTGTTGTCAAGGGGGTTGACAAACGTATGGCTCGTGAGCTGGAACCAGCCCCCCAGAGGATCTCATCTGGCCCTTAAAATGACTGTACCAGGGCCACCTCACTAATGGTTGAAACTATAAACCAGCACAAAAATGACAATGGCCAACATAAGCCACCATGTTCTGAACAGATGCATTATAAACACTGACTTTGTGAGAGTCATATGTATGTCTAGTTCACAGGTCCGGTTGTCATCTAATTAGGCTGCACATGGCCTCCGAACTAAAATGAGTTTGACAACCCTGGTCTACATTTTTCACCCACTATGTATGTGACAATCCTAAAAGTCAGAACTTTGCCTTCAATCACTGATGTCATTTATATTTTACTGTGCTGGTATACAGAGACAACAAAACATAAAACCCATATTCTCGAATACATCCTTCCTGAGTCCCTGACAGCTATTTCGTAACAATCAAAATCTTAAGTTATTTACGTAAGAGGATTTTCAGTATCATTTGGTTAAGTACAGTCAGTAACTTTATCATCCCTATTAGGGATGTAACGATTACCGATATTATGGTAAATTTCTATTAATTTTTACACGGTAAGAATTACCGTTTACGTTTAAATTAACTGCATTATCGCAGTGGATTATCAGGATGTGTAATAATAGCC